AAAGTAAACCAGACATGCGAAAACCTCGCGTGAACGCGCTGCTCTATAAATCTTCGATTACCACTAGTTTATTAATAATAACTTGCTTGTTACTCGGGCTTCCGGAAAGGCCGAGTGTGCACTTAGTGGGTCTTAGTGCCAGGTGCTCCTAGCGGAGCGGCGCGAAAACTGGGGATCATAAATAGCAACGTGAAGATGGGATAGGGACAAAACTATGAATACTGACTTAACAGGTAACTGTATGATGCTCAGATAAACACCTCAGATGTTGAAGAAATCAGGGATCAAAAGCGGAGACGCAATGAATTACCTGGCCTTCATCGTCAGAAACGTCCATGTTTGTGTTGAAAAACAGAGTGCTGAAAAGCGACGTGACGCAATTGGCGGGAAAGAAGAGGAGCCTTCACTCATTGCAGTCATTTTCATTTTCTTTCATTTTCTTTTTTCCTTTTTTATATTTTTGTTTCTTTTTTTCTATTTTCCGAGCTGATACCAGTTTATTTTTGTTTGATTTAATTTTTTAAAATTTTATATTACATATTTTTCGTGTAATTATGATAATTATTCGATGTTCCGGGATGTTCCGGAATGTTTCATGTTCCTGGTTTTATCGACGCTCGAGCGAAGAGTTTTTATTTCTATCTCATGGAGAAACTATTTCTTCATGAGGAATCGTGTATACGCATGTCTTTGAATTGGCGTAATGAAATGAATAAAGAAATCACACTCGTATTTTTCGAACGCCACTATCTTGGTTTTCTATGAAAAACGAAATCTGGGATTAAGGAACAGTCACATGATTAAACTGATGGTGAACGACTGGAAGGAATGGATTAGTCTTCTAAGTTGCGAGCCTTCACTCATTGCAGTTATGTTTTTGTTTTGTTTTTTATTTTCCAAGCTGATACCAGTTTATTTTTGTTTAATTTAGTTTTTGAAAATTTTAATTTTACATATTTTTATCATAATTATCATAATTATTCGATGTTCCGGGATGTTCCTAGCCTGCAGTGCAGGCGTCTTATTGGGGCGAGTTAGCGTTACAACCTTGCGACCGCCTTTTTAGACCGCCATGTTAGACGGTGGGGGATGGGGGAGGGGAAAAATCCTCGGGCAGGCGAGATTTTCTTCGCTCCACCCCTCCCCTATCCTTCCTCTTGCCTATCATTCACCTCCTTGGTAAAACTTTCTTTCTCTCCCCAGTCTTCCACTGGGCGAAAAATTCAAGATGGCGGCTAAATTTTTTTACGATGTGAGCGCTCGCTCGAAAAAATCTCGCCTGCTCTGCAGGCTAGGATGTTCCGGAATGTTCCATGTTCCGGATTTTATCGACGGCCCGAGTTTTCATCGGTTCTTTGGATTCCCGGGAGAATATTGTCGGTGCCGGTCGTGATTGGCCAGAACCAATGTTGAATTCCACGTTGCTGTAGTGACTGCATATGCATGTCTTCCCGACCACGCGATGAGTGGTTCTGATATATTTAAATTCTCCAAATAGATAATGGTACATTTTGCTTGAATTTTGTGGAAGGAATTTGATATTATATCAAGGAGACCTGCCCACGGTTTTCCTAATACTCGCCACCTCAATTTGAGGAGTAGTCGAGCCTCGATCTCTCGTATTTTGTCATGTTTTTTCTTACGTTTGTCAAGCCGAGCATCAACTCTTAATCCCACGCACCCAGCAGTTCCCCCTTCCCCCCTCCCCTCNCACACAGCAAGTACTGAATGTGAAGGAATCTATCGGAAATCATCGGAAGTGAACGAAGACATTCCGATGACGTTGTCGGTAGGCGTCATTCCGTATTGGCAGGTTTTAAGAGGAAGTCTCGTCCACCCTTCACATTATTTCGCCTTCAATCTAAATTTTGACAAGTAATGAATAAAGAATTTCTCTTTAAAGGACAACCACAATGCGGTGGCGATTGCGGTGGCAATCTGTTCCTAAATTCTCGGGTCTTATATCGTATTCATATTAAGACAGAAAAACAAAGTTAATATCATTTGTTAGGCACGTAACACACAAGAGCTCTCAAAAGCTACGTGAAAACATGTACAAACAGTTGTTGGAGCATAGTATCTTTTAAAATTTTTCAAGAGAACCCTAATAAAAGTTGAGAATAATTGAAAATTTTCAATGAGCCATTGTTCTTATCGTTTGCCGTAGTACGGTATCCACCTCTATCGCCAGCGTAATCTTAAAATACTTTCCATTTTATGCCTGATAAGTTTGCTCTGAAAGAGATTTTAAAACCAAGCCCATAAAATCTTGCGATAAACTTGACTAATCCCAACAGGAAAATCGCAATTCTGTGATCCTCTTCTATGATTTTTGTCGGTGCCTAAAGAGTACCTGATGCGGAAATAAAAAAAATGCTTGTCGTCAGATTTGGCCGCTAAATGGCCATAATGTGAATATACTTTACATCCAACCCTCGACACATTGCCGGGCAGAGCTTCCGAATATTTCAAACGCGGTAGAATATTTCCTGATTCTAATGTTATGCTAATGACCTCTGTCTGGCCTTGGGTTGACGAGTTTCCGTTTGAATAAATATCGACCCTTCATGGCGCTAGTGTTCGCAAGAGCCCCACTTATATTCAACTACTCCAACCGACTTTCAATCAAAATTAGAAATGATGCAGTGGAAGGACCTAGCTAGCAGCGTATTAATAATCATCGTCATCATCATCATTCACGTATGACAGTCAGTCGTGTCGAATTAAGTGTCAGTTCCTTGATGTAAAACAAACTCCAGGAGAAATGAATGAAGGAAAAATAACTAATAATGATTAAAGTGCTAGTAGTAATCATATATCTGCTTGTTCGGCCAGCAAATATATGACGCAGTTCTTGCGGTTTTGCATAAATGTCGCCTGGGTAAACCATTTGTTACTCTTGAATCCTCTTGGTACCAATTTCGACAATAAATTATTCAACGTTTCCGCTTTATTTTTTTTTTTTTCAGACTTTCGTTTAACTCTGGGTGGAGCCGAGAAACTTAAACTGCTGCTGTATGCCTTGTTAGTCTTGTTAAACCGCTGATCCGCATAGCTAAAAATAATTTGACATGCGAAATACAGAGAAATGACACTGCTTTTAAAAAATACAGTGTTGTGATAATAACCTCAATTGAAAATCGAGTCACAGGGGTAAATAGCTAAAACCAAATGACGAATGACTGCTTCGAAATGCGACTGAAGACAGAATGAAGAAATAATGGGAATAACTTATACGTATACACGGAGTCGATAAGACTTGTGAGGGAAACAATTCGGGAAAAGTATAAACGGTCATGCATAACAAAATTTTGACGAACTGACGAAACTCTCGAAAAGTTATTGTAAATTAACAATTCTTGCTATGATCTAGTGACCAGGACTGTTGGAATTATTGAATTACTCAACAGGCGATGGGAAGCTAGAGACCTGCAGGATGAATGGAAATTTATACACCTGGGTGGAGAGAGGCACTGTGAGAGTTAAGTGTCTTGCCCAAGAACACAACACCGTGTCCCCGGCCAGGGCTCGAACCCGGACCACTCGCTCCGAGTGTGCCGGGCTACGTGTGCGTGGAACCGATCGCTCTGACGGAAAACGATGAGAAGCACCGCCCGGGCGGAGATTTTGTAAACACTTACCCGGCGGATCAGAACGGATGTGCTTGACTTAAGTAACCTGCTGTACTCTCACATTTTAACTTACGGACAAAATGCTTTGGATTCCGCATTTGCTAATTACATCAGGGGTAAAATTATTTTTATCGTTTTGCTGTTTCGAAACAGATGTTTGGAATAAATGCATTCACAACAAACCCGAAGCCGTCATTTGACGTCTGCTATAAAAGATATTGCTAATTGAAATAGTGGAGCAAACATTTTGCAGGAAATTATTTTTTCTGCAGTGTGTTTTTGTTTTAAGGAACGTGAAAGTATCTCAGAAATGAGTGTTTTTGGAGTGTCAAGTCATATGCGTACGGTCGGCCGAAATTTTACATGAAAAATGGAAAGAAATGTTTAGAACATTAAAAAAATGTTGCATTTTCTCGCGTCAAGTCTTATTTGGTTTGGAATTTTGCCACAGTTTTCTGACATATATTTCATGTCTGTTAACTCAGTGGAAAGTGAATTGACATGCATCAGAAAGCATTGGGTGAACAGAGAGCCGCAAGATGATTCCCTGACATTGACCAAATTTGGACTGGTTAACAGAGGCCGGCTCTGCTCATTCTAGAATGCCTCTGATTGGTTGTTCTATTGTTTATTTGTTCGCCACAATGCTTGTAATGACTTAGCCTTCATTTGCGTATTTTTGTGACTGTGGGCGTTCGTAGGTTTTCCCAGCTTTTGCGGTGCATTCTCTACACGACCATAGTCTTTTCCGCTTTCATTTCTCTTGCATACGAACGAGAATCAATTGAGTTATGGCTGACGACATTAGCAGCGACGAACGAGAAGAAATCGTTGAATTAGCGATCGACGACGATGACTCGCCATTGAAAACCAAAATGATCGAGAACGAAAGGGTCAGTTCTACAGTGAGAAGCACTTCTGTTCGCACCGGCAGCGAAAAGAGTGGCAAGGACGCACAAGAAAACGGCGAAGTAGAAGATTCAGAGGAGGAAGAAGACGGAGAAGACGAAGACGACGAGTCGGAAGATGAGAGCGACGAGGAGTCATCTTCAGGAGAATCATACAGCGAAGATTCTGAGGAATTCGAGAGGTACATATAACCGTATACTTTTCTTTCGAGTTTAGCGTGAACAGTTGTGTAATCTTTGTCTCTCATTGTTTTATTTGGTGAAGCCAGTATAGCAAGCCGTTATTGTGGCCGCCTCAAGTTGAAGCCACCTTGTGCATGTACATGTACACCGAATTAACCGATTCGCCATTTAGTCATGAAGGCAGTAGTTAACTGATTTATCAACCGGCTGATAAATATCGCTGTAATCTTGGAGATCATCGGCTAAAACGTTGGCATTTTTGTTAGCTGGGATAAGTGTCATTTTATGGTTCAAACTGGTCTCACCTTCCAGAAGTGTTAATCTTTGTTTCACGATTTATAGTCAACTTCCATGGCGGATCACGCTGTGATGTTGTCGTTAGTGTCTTATTTGTTTTACCAAAGAAAACATTTTCAATCCAGCTTTTGATGTCAAACGCTCTTCAGAGGAATATCTTACTTATGTAACTCTCGCGAGTCTTTGTTTTTCTTTTCAAGTCCTGGGTTCTCGGTCAATTCCTTAAATACTTGAGCTTAAATTAAATGGAATTTTCACGTCTTTTGTGTTTTCAGACTTTGTCACTTCCTACTATTTCACCGTTCGATGTACATGCCCGGCTTACGTTAATAAGCTTACTTTATTGCAGAATAGTCATAAAAGGGCAAAGAGCTCGGCAGATTAAGAATTTTTAAATGAAATCGAAAAACTCCTATTTTAGCATTGTCACGATTGTGTCAAAATTGATGGCAAACGCTGTGCATTCCCGAAATGATAACTGAAATTAATTTGAGTGAAGGCCGAGTTATAAATAAAACCTTGGGGCTAATTGGTAATTAACGGCACATTCCTCTTTTCTTGATTTTTCTAAACTATTCTGGTGTTTAGAATTTTCTTCATTACCCGAGTTACATGAAAACTGCATGGCTAATTAAAGTTTGATGTTTTGGACGGTTGTTTTGATTGCTAGAAATATATTTGTTGTGAGTTAGGTAAAGTGGCATTAAAGTATCTTGAATAAGTTCTTAAGTAACCAGAAAAGCATTCTAAAATGCAATTTAAACACAGATGGCTGTAATCTTACTTAAAGGAGATTAAATTTGAAAACAGCTTGTGCTGGTTTACAAACAGTTGTAGAATGAAGTACTTTGTGGGATCCAAACAGAAATAGTATACAGCTGTATTTATAATCTGATTTTGAAGTTACTCTGCCAGTAACTCTCTGAATTTTACTTGACTTGGTCATGATACTTAAACTGAATATTTAATGGTAATGTTGACCAGTTCCATTGGATGTTATTCTTACCTGTAGGGTCAAGCTAGAAGGGAAGATTGCAGCTGATGAACGTCCACGTCAAGGCTATGCTTCATCAAGTAAATCCTTGTTTGAGAAAAAAGCTCAAGAAGCTAGTGAGACAGGTACAGCTCGACTCAAACCAATAGAACAGGAGAAAGAACTGTTTTCAGGCACTAGTTCTCGCCGCCATACCTTTGAGAAAGCTGCTGCAGAAGAGGTGAGAAAGACAGCTCCAAAGATAAAGGTAGAGGAAGAGGAGATTGATTTATCTGGCCGAGCAAAATCTCACAAACAGCTCTTTGAAGAACAGGCCAAGTTAAGTGCCCAGGTGTCTCCTTCACTTCCGAGAAAAATTTTCGGTGAGCAGGATGGTGAAATTGATATCTCTGGTAAGGCAAAGTCCAAGAAAGAAATGTTTGAAAAAATAGCATCTGAGCACAAAGGAACATCGCCAGCTGCTGAAAGGAAATTTCTGGGTGATGTAGATTTGTCAGGTCGAGCAAAAGCCCATCGGAATATTTTCCAGCAAAAGATAGAAGAAGAATCACAGGTGAGGACATCACGCAAGATGCATTTAGAGGAAGATGTGTTTTCTGGCAAAGCATCATCCCGCCGTCAAATGTTTGAGAAATTTGGATCAGGAGAAAATGGAAGTCAAAAAGGCTCAAGGACACCTGCGGATGAGGAGCAGATTGACCTGACTGGAAGAGCCAAGTCTCACAGGCAAAGGTTCGAACAGTTTGCTGAAGAAGCCTCAAAGGTCAAAACAGCTCAGTCCAGGAGTGATGAGCTTGACCTATCTGGAAAAGCATTGTCCCACAAAGAGTATTTTGATGAGAAGGTGGCTGAGGCAGGTAAAACCAAGACAGCAGAGAAGAAATTAAGAGATGAGGAGGAAGAAGCCATCATGGGTAGGGCTCGTTCACATAAGCTGTCTTTTGAAGAAAAGGCTGCAAAAGATTTGGAAGTCCAAACTTGTGATAAGTCAAGGCTTGAGGAAATCCCTGATAGAGCTTTAAAGAAAAAGAGCAAGAAAGAGAAGCATGGGGACGAGCATGAAAAGAAGAAAAAGAGAAGAAGGTCGTCATCCAAGTCAAAAGAACACAAAGAGAGTGCGAGCCATGAAGAAGTAAATCCAGAGGAAAAAAGTGGGACTGACTTTCAAGAGGAAGAAAAAGCCAAGGTTGAAGAGAGAGCAGATGAGAAAGAAGAAGTTGCTGAAGAGACTTTCATTAAGGAGGATGAAGAGTTTGGAAATGAGTATGTAGATGATCACAAAGTGAATGGCAAAATACATGGCTCAGACGAGGAAGAGCACGAAGAAGTTGAGGTTGTAAATGAACTCAATAATGAAAGTGAAATCAAAGTTGCAGCTTCAGTGACATATGAGTCTAGTGCACTGGGAATTGTTGATGAAAATTCTGCAGAAGACACCGTTCCTAGCAAGGAAGACAATGTTCCAAGCAAGGTTGAAGAAGCACCCGAGCCAGCTGCTTCTGATGCAGTGGATAGTAAAAGCATTCCAATGGATTATCGTGCCAGGAGGGCTTTGAGACAGAAACAAAAGGACACGGAGAGAGGTGAGACTGTTAATACAAGTATTTAAAAGTAGGGAGTTGTTGGTTTTTAGCTCATAAAATGTTTAAAGAATTGTTTGAGCTATGATATTGATAATCTCAAGTTCATTATAAGCNAAAAGTGGGACTGACTTTCAAGAGGAAGAAAAAGCCAAGGTTGAAGAGAGAGCAGATGAGAAAGAAGAAGAAGTTGCTGAAGAGACTTTCATTAAGGAGGATGAAGAGGTTGGAAATGAGTATGAAGATGATCACGAAGTGAATGGCAAAATACATGGCTCAGATGAGGAAGAGCACGAAGAAGTTGAGGTTGTAAATGAACTCAGCGATGAAAATGAAATCAAAGTTGCAGCTTCAGTGACATACGAGTCTAGTGCACCCGGAATTGTTGATGAAAACTCTGCAGAAGACATCGTTCCTAGCAAGGAAGACAATGTTCCAAGCAAGGTTGAAGAAGCACCCGAGCCAGCTGCTTCTGATGTGGTGGATAGTAAAAGCATTCCAATGGATTATCGTGCCAGGAGGGCTTTGAGACAGAAACAAAAGGACACAGAGAGAGGTGAGACT